GACACAATAAGGAAATAATCAAACTGCTTCACGAGGTGATCACTAACTGGGAATTCTAAATGGAAATAAAAAAGAGAAAAACCAAGGGACACATTGCATCGGGAATCGGGAGTAGATATCAAAAGAATGAATAGCAATTGGAAATAATTAGAAAAGTGAGCTGAAGACAGGATTTATTGGATAATCCTGATGGGTGGCATCTGCTTCTCCTCGAGGGTTAACCTGCATATTTCAGAAAGTGAATTAAAGTCTAGCTGATATTATAGGATAGTAAAAATGGATTTTCAAAGTGGACTGATTTTTACAAATTACTTAAACATTGTAAACTTATACTACAAAATATTAATCACAACAATAAAAGATCTACTCCATCAAATTAACTTATCCCAATAATTTTAAAAAGATTTTTATGAAACCTAATTTTCAAAATTATGTAAATTGTGCATAAAAACCTAATTTGTTAGTTAATAAATTGTAAAACTAACACATTTTACATCCACTTGGTATTGTTTAATTGAATTTCCCCATTGATGTTTAGGACTGCGATTGATCAGTCTCTTTTTGGCATATGTGTACACTGTACGATTTGCCTTGATATTGTCTTCATTCACAAGTATTATAAGCAAAGATAGATAGTGGCTAACAGTGGAATATAGGACGTGCTTTTCGTCTTATTTATGACTTGTCAGCTGGATGTACCTGCATCTCAGAGTTGATGTTCACTCTAAGACTCGAATTCAGTACCGTTCGCTCCAAACACCATTGCGTTATGTACTTAGCTACTAAGTCTTGATAGCCACTTACTTGTGCCTTAGGGTGAAGTTTAAATTCACTTGGTATTGTTTGCTTATATCTTCCCCTTGTTGTTTACGACTACGGTTGATCAGACTCTTGTTAGTATATGTGGATACACAGGTGGATATCAGGACTCAGTAGCTAATTGGGTAGTGCGATGAGGTTTGAAGCTAACGGTACTGAGTTCGATTCTTAGAGTGAACATAAACTCTGAGATGCAGGTACATCCAGCTGACAAGTCCTAAATAGGACGAAACACGCGTCCTATATTCCACTGCTAGCTACTATCCATCATTGCTTATAACACATTTTAACTTACAAAAAAAATAGTTATTTACATTTCTGTGGAAGGGAAAACCATAATTAGTCAATGAAAAACTCATTGATATTTTCACTTTATTTTATGAACACTTAAGTATTTATTTGTATCAGTAATTTGTTTTGTTTAATAAAGGATGGTCTAACACCAATTGGTTCAAGATCTCAATCAAAAACTTAATAAAGAAATGTTCAATTTACGCTTCATTTCCAAATAAATACTAAAATGTAATTTCACAATAAATATGTTTTATAGGGTTATTTATTAAAATAGTTTCTTTATTTTCTTAACATGATCAATTAGAGAAGAGAATAAAGTAGATAATAATGATTCTGTGTAAAATTTAATCAACTACTTTGTTTTAAATATAATGACACTTTAAAAAACATATAAGTTGTCATTAAACTATGAATATAACTAAACAAGAACTTGATCCATTTTAAAAAGATGTAAAAAATAATTACTTCATTATAAAAATTAACACAATAATATTGTTATAATTAGTAATAAGAGATCATTTTACATTCTTTTATATATGTAAAATGTATTGATATACTGGAAATTTAACTGTTGAACTATGAAACATTTGATGATCATATAAATGAAATACTTTTGATTAACGTCATATAGTGTGTTTTATCTATTTGTGAACATTTATGTTTTTAATTTTTGAACATTTATTATATATTTTCAACTTGTGGATTGGTTGAAATTAGACAATAACACCGTTGGATGCCGGCTCAGTGATCTAGTTGTTTAAGCGCCTGTTGCGAGACTGATAGGTCCTGAGTTCGAATCTCACGAGGTGCGGGATTGTGGATGCGAACTGCTGAAGAGTCCCATACTAGAACGAAACGGCCGTCTAATGCTTCCAGGTTTTCCATGATGGTCTAGCTTCAATTGACTCATGATTTCAATCAGTGATATCATATATTTGTTACATAGCCAGATGATTGTTCTTTTAACCTTATTATCACATGTAAAATCATATAAGGGAAGAATATTTCATGTAGAATAATTCTTGAACTTATTTTATCAACAATATACAGTTATTGATATATTATTAATGACATAGCTGTATATGAAACATGATGTAACTTAAAAATTAGTCAAAAAAGTAATTCATATAAAGTCTAGGTATAAGCTGTTTGATTGTGAACACAATCATAAGATTTCCACATTTCAGAAATGACTGCTTATTTAATTTTACAATATACTTCTGAATACTTAGTGATTATTTTACGTTACTCAAAACATAACTGCTGATAAAGTAAAAATAAAAATTGGTCATTTGTTGGATTACACAAATTGAATTCATGAGTCAATTGAAGCTAGACCACCATGGAAAACCTGTAAGTACTGGACGGCCGTTTCGTCCTACTGTGAGGCTCCTCAGCAGTGCGCATCCACGATCCCCGAACCCAGGACCTATCAGTCTCGTGCCAGGCGGTTAACTAACTAGACCACTGAGTCATTTGCATTAATTAATGAATATGTATCTTTATATATTTATTTCTAACGTATTATGTAACAGTAAATTTATGATATTTGGTTAAAATTATGCATGAAATGTAATCAGATATAAATATACCATCAATATTATACGTAGACTGTTTTGTATGTATGATATGAATTACTTAATTCTCAGTAATAAATAACAGATTCAATAGAATGATAATGATGAGAGTATAGATTAAATAATAACATTCATATTGACGGGAATTTATTCTTTAAAATATTTTAAGTAAACGATGAAAAAACACTATCAAAACTTATCAAAACGACTCTTAAATGATCTCACTTATAAACAAATAGTATTGAAATAGATAAATATCAATGAAATTTAAAGAAGCTACGTCTTCAAAGTAATTTGTGGAAAATTTCCCAAGGTTTCAAAAAATAACTATTGAGGCTTGTTAAAAATGTACACTGAATTCCTTCAGAAAAATTCTAATTCTAATTTCTCAGTATGCTCGAATTATTACAATCATGTAAATGATAACCCTAAACGTTACGTGAATTCAAACTAAACTTTCTTGAATAAAAGTGACATGAATGTAAATTTTTTATGAAGGTCTTTTCAGATCAAATATATAACAAGAAATGGAATGAAGTGATGAGTGTAGATTCATGTTTGGTAAATGTTATACGATATAAAAATTCTGTTTGAAAATAAAATATGATTTGGACAGCGTAATTTGGAACCTGACAAAAGTCTTGAATAAATAAAATTGTTTTCCAAGATAGAACTTGTTTGTTGAAAACCCCATCATAATCGACCCTAAATTTTTTTGTTAATATCTGTTATAAAACATTTCAATGATAAATTTACCAATAAACCATCTATAGTTTACCTGATCTGCATAAGGTATTTTGACATACAGTTTTATGAATCAGCCTTGTATTTCTAGTTGAGTATTCCAGTATCATCTTCAAAGGTGTATCATGTAACTTTAGTTGTACTTACTTAATAGGAAATAGGAAATTAATTTGAATTTATTACAGACTAAGTAATGTTAAGTCGACTCGCTGGAAGTAGAAATGTTTTTTAGTTAGCAGCGTATACAACCTGTATTCTGACAATATAATTAAACATAAGACTAAGGAAAGTCAGTTAAAACAAAACGATACTCGATTGTCATCGTATATGATACTTTAATGATTGAAAATCCTGCATAATATGATGAATAATTTAATGACTTAAATTCGCTTTAACAATTTCTTGATTTTACAGAACGTATGGCATGACTCCATATACTCTACGCCTCCGGACTAGTCAGTTCTTTATATGAATTAACGATAACAGAAATATTTCCTTCACAACATTTCAAATATCTCTTATTGAGTTCTGTCTAAAACTGGTAGGATATAACATCATAATAGTATACCCAGTAAATATATGGAATTCAACTGTTTACAACTTCAGTAAGCTTAAACGCAGAGAAATAGATTCATAATTCGGATGATAATATTGGTTTTATTAATGTTTATTCCTCTCTGGAATACTAGAGCTAAAATATGTACCGCTCTCTATATATACTAAAGTAAAATCTACGGATGATCTAATTAAAAAATAATGCGACTTACAGATATTTTTATTTTAAAAATACTCAAAGGGGGGTATAGTATATCACACGTATTTGAGCGTAACACTATATTTCTAATTACATATCCTAAGCGGTTAAGCTATAAAACGTGTATCAGGTATACATATCCCGAAAATGTTAAACATGATATTATTGACATATCGGGAAATTAGAAACAATCAATGAAACACTTAAAAGGATGATAGCCTATGTTAATTCATTGAACGAACGGTATTGGTCTAGTAAACAGTATTTACATAAATGAAAATTTAGTAAGTTGATGATGATGATCTTTATGACAAAAGTGGAAAAAGACTCTTTTTAACTAGACTGTATCTTTAGCTTAGTTGAAAGAGTTTTTTGGAAAGTTGATTTGATTTGCAGAGAGTATTCGAAAAAGTTCGATCTTATTTTGAGTACCACTGAGAGTCAGAAAGTACCAGTTCCTTATTTATATTTACTGGACATCATCTATGAGACATATTTCCTTAAACATATCATATAAACACAAATAGATACATTTTGACGCGTTATATTAACACTACATACTTATTTTAAATCCACTCGTTCGTAAATAATGACTCTTTTCTCAATTGAACTATAATGAATCAAATATACCATGTAATAAATTCTTTGAAGACCATACTTACTTCTTCCCTACTATTAATAATAATTTACCTAAAAGATTATTTCTGGAAAATTCTTATTAAAAAAGTTCTCACGAATGTAGTTATTAATAACTATAAAAGATTTCACTTCTAGAAAGAAGAAAACACTATCAAATTAATAAATCAATTTACCATTTGTTCTTATCCAAGAATTTGTTGAATTTATTCCATTATTACTTGTACTAACAACTGTCGATGGTGATGGTGATGATGATGATGTAGGAGATGTTAATGAATGATGAATGTTGGGCATAACACTATTCATATGTCCTGTTGATAATCCCATAGGTAAATGAATATTACTTATATGTGAATTAAATGAATGATTAGGCATAACTGACGTGACATTACTATTACTACTTGTAATATTATTATTATTTACTGTATTTACAGATGTAGTAGTAATGTTATTATTAGACAAATTATAATCGGTTAATGAAGAATTTTGAAATATATTCAATGAATCATATAAATTTGATGATGTATGATGAGTTGAATTGTGTAAATTATTTAATGGTGAATGATAATTTGTCATTGATGCTGCAGCTGCCATGGCAGCCACTGTAGCTGCAGCCATATTGAAAAGATTTTCACAATCATATGATTTATAGTGTTTATTATTTAAACAGTCTAAAAATGTATTACATCCTTCTTTTTTCATTAAACAAGGTGTCGTTGTTGTTGTTGTTGTTGTCGTCGTTGACGTTACAGATGCCCCTCCTATTGTTGATGATAATAGTTGAGGTAATTGTTCATTGGTTAAACTTGATACAATTCGTTTGAATAAATTCATGCTTGAATGTAATTCATTCAACTTAGGTTTAGTTTCAATATTTTCTTCTGAATAAATATTAGTTGTATAATGATTTTGATATGAAGAGGTTGATTGATTTATGGGATTATTCTCTGTGTTATTTTTATTTAATTGTGTTAAATGTATTAAATAATTTGAATGAAAATTTTCTGGTAATGCTGAAAATTTTTCAAGTAAACGATATTGTTGATAGATCAACTGAAGTGTATTATCATCTGTTTTATTTACAGAATTATCTAATGTATTAGTTAAAGACTGTAATGTATTCCACCATGTTGAATAACTCTTATTTAATTTACTTTCAACAGATTCAATATCATCACCTAAATATTTCTGTGGTTTTTCACTCTTAATTATATCGATTTTATCATGGAAATCATCCGGTTTTTCAATAATCTCATTGTCTTTACAAGAATCCTCTAGTATATCACGTATTCCATAAGCTGTTTTACGTTTTTTCGGTGTATTATTAAACTGTTTGGATATGGAAACCATATTATTATTATTATTATCACTATCGTTTACTGTTGATACACAAGTAGTATTATGTGTAAAATCTGTACAATTAATAGTTACATTTAAGCATGACGAATTAGGTGGTGAATGACATTTTGTCAATTTATTTGTATCATCGATTTCTTTTTCAGGGGATAGCTTATTATTATTGTTTAATAGGGTTGTTACAAAATTTTGCCATATTGAATAACATGAATGATCTGATTGTTTAATTTTATCATTTATTGTATCCATAAGAAAAGTTTTCCGATTGTTTGTATTTAGAATTTTATCATTTATTTGTTTGGTTGTTTCATCAAAGGAATAAGATAAATCATTGTTGACAAGAGTGTTATTTCTATCTAATTCATTGTTATTTGAAGAATTTGTTGTAGTTTTGTCTGGAATGAAGGTAATATTATTATTAGTAGTATAATTATTATCAGTGGGAGTGGAATAGAAAGATTCATATTCTATAGAATTCTTCCATGAATTGTTTAATTCATCATTAAGTATAAAATCATTATTACTTGTAGATATATTTAATTCTTCATTCAGATTCATTTTATTTCTCAAAGATTCATTTTCACACTTGATACAGTTAAGATTTAAAATGATATTTGAGTTGGATTGAAAATAATATTAGGGTTTAGTCTTATTTAGAAAGATTTCTATTATATTTTATTTCACTCAGTTGTAAAAGAGGATTGAGTTGGCGCCATTGAATATGATTGTTCCATTTTTGTTGTTGTTAGTTTAATGATGTGAGTTGATTCATTTTCAATAGGGTTGATAAATAAATGTAAATTGATGTATGTAAAAGCAATAATGTTTTAATATTGTTTTGTCTATATATGTGTGTGTGTGTTTACCAATGTATCATAAAATGGATAAATATTTTTCTTATTATGAAAGGGGTGCTATTTTTCTTTATTCTACTGATTTCTTTTAACTAATATAAAGTTCACAGAAATGTTAAATATATATTTCCTTTCTTTTCTTATCTCGGGTGTAGGAAAATAAATGTCTACTATCTAATCATTGTTAATTTAAATTAAAGCAACTATAGGCTCTTATAGATAATACATACAAACACAGTAACAAACTTATAGAAACACGATAGATGGTTAACAAATATATTCTATACATCTCATTATATACTGTTATTTGTTGCATATATGAACGTCACACTAATTTTTGTTTTTTAAAAAAAAGCCTAATTGACTGTCATTGTATAGAAAAACACATACAATTATTTGACCAATTAAATAGTTAGTTAGTAGTCTATATTGTATAAATAATATAATTTGCTTATAAATGATTGGATGATTATATTATATTATTATTTAATTTAGAAAAATAGGGTACAAGAAATTAATTCAAATTAGATGTGTAAATATTTACAAGAAATCTATGTTTTATTGTATGAATAACAAATACATAATTTCAGATGGGTTTTGTGAATATTATAGTAATTTCAATGGTTAAAATCATGAGTCAGTTGAAGCTAGACCAGCATGGAAAATCTGGAAGGACTGAATGGCCATTTCGTCCTATTGTGGGACTCCTCAGAAATGCTCATCCATGGCCTCGCCTCACGAGATACGAACACAGGACCTATCAGCCTCGCGCGCGAGCGCTTAACCTCTAGACCACTGTGCCAGTCGGCATCCAACAGTGTTAATGGCTAACTTCAACTAATCCACCAAAGTGAGCGACACATCCACCATTGTCTTCAGTGAGTTACTGTCTCACAACGGACCCGGTTGAACTTCCACAGTAGAACGAAACGGCCATCCAGTGCTTCCAGGTTTTCCATGGTGGTTTAGCTTCAACTGACTCATGATCTTAACCATTGAAAATACATAATTTGCAGTCATTATTTCTTATTCTTATTCTTATTATCTCTCTATTATATTATCAATTTTAATGAAAGATTTTAAAACACTTTATTGTGAACAGATTAGATAGTCCTTTTGTTGTTGTTGACAAATTACCATCAACTTGCGAAACATTGAGACTTGAAAGTTACAACTTGTATTATTTATTGAATTCAAACTAACAAAGTAAACTACTAATTTACTTGATATTGTTTGGCTTGTATCTTCCCATTGAAATTTTTAAGACTGAAATTGATCAGTCTGTTATTAGCATATGTGCATACTGTGCATATGCCTCGATATTGCTTTAATTCACAAACTTTTTGTAAGCAATGGTGGATAGTGGCTAGCAGTGGAAAGATACAAGCCAAACAATAACAAGTGAATTTATATTCACCACATTGTACAAGCAAGTGGCTATCAGGACTCAGTAGCTGAGTGGATAACGCGATAGCATTTGAAGTGAATGGTACTGGTTTTGAGTCCCAGATTGGACATAAACTCTGAGATGCAGGTACATCCAGCTGATGAGTCCCAAATAGGACGAAACACGCGTCCTATATTCCACTGTTAGCCACTATCCATCATTGCTTACAAAATCTACTAATCTACTAATGATAATAACTGAAGAACTTAACATATATCACAATATAGATTATTGGATACCGATTACTTAGACCACTCAGATAGATATTACTTTGAAAATTGAAGGTATATAGTTCTACTTCATCATAGACTACACATATTCACTTTTGTGAAATTTTAAGTTAGATTTGTTATTTAATACTATATAAATTGTTAATGATTTTTCAACTGATGTCACTTCATGTTTATATATCGCTTTCAAGTTAAACACATATTATATATTTTTAGATTCCAATTATATGAGTGTTTGATATTCGTTTAATATTATATATTTATTTACTTACTTATACAATATTCTTTTTATAGTGTTCATTATCACTGTATTTCTAATTACAGAAAATCATTAAAACTAAATGTCTATTAAAGTAAGTTAGTATATTTGAAACTAAGATGGAATTTAAAACTGACTGAATTTTCTTTTTATAAAAATATAAAACATTATACTATAATAATAATTATTCATAAGAATATATAAATCTTAATTTGATTGATAACTTCAAACTGATGATAGACAGAGAAATAATTGAATATACATAAACATATGCGAATCACATCAGCAATAATTAACTGTGGTTAATGTATATTTAAAAAATATATAAATACATACATATGCATCTTTATAAATAGAAATAGATGATAAGAACAGAAAATATAAAAATGGGGGGAAAAAACATACAATTTTATTAGTTTAGACAGTAATTTGCAAATCTATGTTTAAAAAAATCCTAATATGTTACATATCAATGTGGTTCAGGAAAAAAAGCAAGAAAATTTACTAAATATATATTGCTTCTTACAGTTGGAAGCTATTGAGAACTTCATGAATAAACTTTCAGAAAGTGAGGTTAATTCGAAGATACTTCGTTTAATCAGTAGTCAGTTGAAAATTCTAAAAAAAGTTCTGGAAAAACAAGGGGATATGTGTTATGGGTCGATTGAATAATTGCTTAATTTAGTGTATTCTAGAAACTTTCAGGATATCAAGGTTTTCCATAAACCCACAGGTATCCTCACTTTCTGTACGTGAACTAATCCCGGAAACAAAGCCACTTTCCTTACTTCTCATTTTCTGTCTATCGTTCTAAGCTCAAGTATAGAGGAATTTTGAGGAACTGAGAAATGGTGAGAAAATCAGACATAGAATGTGTCACTTGTGGTTACTTTTAACACTGTTGTTCAAGTTAAACGTCTCCTGTAAATGATGTTAGCAATTTTATCGTAGAATCCCACAAAGTTAAACCAGTTTATGGAAATAATTATTATGTATGATGTTAGCTTTCGCAAATGTCTTTCATAAATTGATATTCATAAGAATACAGTTGAAAATCAGAAAGCATTGAATTGTTATTTCATTCTCTTAAAATCAATACTTGTGTAATTCCAATAAAATTGATGTTACATAATATGATATAACATATTTTTTCAAGTTATGAGATGATTTTAACTAATTTTCTTTAAAAGATTCTTTTTAAATTACGAACTGAAATAATTTGGAAAAACTACTGAAATCAGAAAATGTTTTCTTCATTGTTATGAACCTATCAGGAACATGTAGTTGCAACTACATAAAACACTGAATTCATTATGTACAGATCTCATTACCAATGTAATATAATTGAATCATTTATTCTAAATTCGACAGGACATTTAATAATTCGGTTTATCATTCCTAGATAATATCCTACGTAAGTTATTATATCGCGAGACTACAAATAAAGAGAATTCAGCGAGTGTTCTTTTTGACAAAATCATTTACTTAAACTGTACATTCTTCTTCCTTCATGCTTGTTAGACAGAGATGGAAGTCCAAGATTGTCTGGAAATTTAATTGATAGAGACCTATGAAGATCAATTACACGTAGAATTTATTTCATTTTATACAAATTGCATTCAGTGATTATTAATCTGAAAAAATCTTCAAAATGAACAATCGTTACACAGAATTGACTATTATACTAGACGAAGGTCAAGGGAATGAAAATCGTGGCTGGTTAATTAGTACAAATTAATGTTAAGCTGAGGAGAAATTACACCTAACTAATTCACATGTTAAATGACCCGAAATCCTACTGAATTAATAAGAAAGTGAACGAGGTAAGAGTATAGTGCGAGGATGATGTTGAGAGGTTCTAAAAAATACGCGGTAAATTTAACTCGTTTCTACCAATCAGAAAACAGCTTTTGTTTATGAGTGATTTGTTGCAAAGAACATTAATATTACAAAGACTAGAAAAATTTAAAATGGTTAGTGAATTTGTTGAAGTTCTATATTAATGTTTCTGTCTGTAAATTCAAAAGGATTTATGATGTCGTCCACGTCGATATAATTCATGTGACCTATGTAATCCTAGTACAGATGTAAGTAGTCCTTCACCGAACTCACAGTACACCTGTATTTTTGGTATACATGCCTATTAACAGGTCCACTAAATGAGTTTTGTATGCAACAACCTAATGATTGTATCTAAGTCCAGAGAGAAATTAATATACACTAAATTTATCCGTTTATACAGTCGCCACACGTATAACAACTTTCTTAACTACAGGTAGATGTGTTTCGTTTTTTCCGGTTGCTCTTATTTTTCAAAGTGACTTTCAGTGGTTATCTACCCCAACTACAGAAGGCCTAATACGATAAGAAAACATACTAATTACTCATTCCTCCTTTATACACTTCCCTTTATTATGTTTTTGCTTTGTGATGACTGCCTAAGAAATTTCTTCAATGTTTCCAATGCTAACCAAGAAACTTTATGAGCCAAGGATATTCTTCGTCGATAGTTGTATTATTGTATGGCAGTAACTTTAATTACATCCGCCATATCTGCTGAAATAGTTACCGAGTCACCTAAGAACCAATATACGAGGATTAGCACTATTTATCTTAAAACAAGCCTAAGAGAATAAAGCTAATTGATCTAATTCTAAAGGATTTGTTTGATTGGCAAGAATAGAATCTATGGACATAACTAATATGTTTCATTTCAAAAACATCGATATTCATTTGTCAGCCACACTCCTATTGCGGCTCGGATAGCTCAGTGGTAACGTCTCTGTCTGTGAAACTGGGTGACACGAGATCAAATCCGCCAGGGAGCACCGTTTTCCTCAAGATTACAGGTACACCTTAATGACGAGTGCCAAGTAGCACGAACCCTGGGTGCAGGGTTTCCTGTTGACTACCTCCAACCACCATCTAAATATTAATATATAGTGCCCGCAGTGTCGAGTCACCTAGACTGGTGGCCACACTGCAACATGATCGATAGCATTCGATCTGCACTAATAAGGACTAGACACGCATGATATTGATCACCACCCAGTGATCAATCAATTGTGATTACGTAATTTCTTCTTACTAAATTGTATTTGATTACTTAACATCCTTGACTTGTTATCAGTAAGTTATTATTTCGAGGCAATTTACGTTACAACGTGTCGTCAGTATCCTGACTACTTCTATATTTAATGTGTTCTAGAATTGAGACGAAACATGATAATCGCTAATTTGTCTACACGTGACTTAATTTCGTCATGAAAGTCTATATTCGACTACTCAGAAATGTATTACTATTATTTTTGTAAATAATGATAGTGTGTGATT